AGGCTAGTCACTTGCCATGATGTTGCCATCTTTGTTTTGGCCTTTTTATGATGACATCACATTTACCTACATCAGGCTTCATTGACCCATCATTGTAAAAGAGTGCTAAGAGAGTTTTTGAGATGTTTTGTTATATAACTTTAGAGATAAAAGCATTAACTTGCCATCATTTTATGTGGAATTTGGTGTTTTTCATGCCTACTGAAAGAAAACTTTATGAAATTATATTTAGATGTTATTTTGTATTTTTTTCTTCCCTGTCCCTTAGCACCCCACATCCACCTCAAAATATGCATATGTCCGGAAAAGACGAAGAGGATGATGAATGAATGGGTGGATTTGTTATAAGTTTTTCAGGAAACATGTGCAATACATGTGGCAATACACCTATGCATTCATTTTCCCTGTACACCTACTAGTTTATGTGGTACACACAGAGTTTTGGAGATGTTTCAATTTCGTGAAAATGTAGCATGATTTTCAAAACCAAGTTCAAAAAGAACCAAATCACTTGCATGAAAAACCATGCCATTTTGTCCTATAGTCAAGAACAAAATAGTGCCAACTACCACTCTCAAGTTTTTATTTAACCTTCTCAAATTTAAGGCAATTCCACGACAAATCACCTAATTTTTTTCCAATTGTTCACCATGACCTCTCCGATTTTGCTCAAATTTGGCATGTAAGTTGACCTATGGGCATTACTTCGTCCCAGTAAATTTTTAGTCTCTAGGTCACAGGGGTCATGAGATATGGGTCATGCAAATTTTTAGGTTTTCCGGAACATTGAAATATAAAGTATTTTTTATCTCCGAAACGGTTCACCGGATCAAAAAAAGTTATATATGAAATAAGAAGCGCAAAGGCTGGTGCGTCTAGCAAAAATGTGAACGAAACCCCAAGGTCATTTTTTGACCCTTTGACCTCGTGACCTTTTCTTGACCCCGTGACCTTTCAAATTTGTCCTATTTTAAAAATTCTGATTTTTTCTATCAGAGATGTCTTATCCATGCTATTAATAGCGGTATGTGATTTGGTTGGTATATCGGACCCGTTGACCTCAAACTGAGGTCAACAATGTGGTCATGACCTGACATGAAAATGACATCTGCCGAGAACGTCGAGAATCATAGGCAATATGGGTGTCATATGAAAGCTTACTTCACGGAGAATGCATTGGTGGTGTTTTTGAGTAGGTATGGGCCGGGTCAAGGTCACATTAGGTCAGTGACCTAACACAGCATTGTGTTCTTTGAAGGTGGCGTATTTAATTTGTTTGGTAAGCCCAGTGATCAGCACACAATAAAAAAAGGAAACAAAACGTCATAAAACATCGTCTGTCTTTATTCAAAAAGCACAGATAAAATGCATTCACCCATATACACACACTCGTACAAACACACGCACATACATACACCTTGTTCGAGGAAGATCTTTCAAACAAACCTCAGTAACACACGCGGTGTGAAGAACGAGTCTTAGAAGACTAGTAGAGCTTGAAGGCTGCTATGGTGTGGGAGTCGAGCGGTACAAAGCGGTGAAACGTCCTGGTACACTCGGGGGCAGATTGATGTTCCACCACTCCCTACCCATCGGGCTCCCATGGATCAGCAGTGGCTGCTGCCAGTGTTGCCTGCCCTCAGCACTGCTCAGCACTGCCTGCCAGTGCCAGTGCTGCCAGTGCTGCCACTGGCAGCAGCCAGTGCTGAGCCATGGGAGCCCGATGGGTATAGGGAGTGGTGGAACATCAATATGCCCCCGAGTGTACCTACTACCTACCCCTCACCGTGCGGGCACTTGTGAACCGTTCTCTTTCATTTTCGTCTTCGTTCCTGCTATTTGCGTTGCCGAAACGAAGAAGAAATGCATTTTATCGGTAAGGTGGTCCTCACAGTATTACCAATACCATCGCATGCGCTTTTGCCATGCGAGGTGGCAAAAAAATCCACTCACATTGAACACCGAAATCCTCGGCATGATGACATATATTTGCAAAATTGTATTTGTTCTTGTACTGGGACGCTGCTCGGACAGAGAAGTAGTGTATTTTTTAGTCTTGGGCATTCATTTCAAATGTGGGGAATAACCACTGCCTGAAATGCCGCTTCAGCTCCCGCGTCAGCTCCCGCAACGCAAATAGCAGAAACGAAGACAAAAATGAAAGAACGCTTCACAAGTGCCCGCATGGTGAAGGGTACCAGGACGTTTCACCGCTTTGTACTGCTCGACTCCAATACCATAGCAGCCTTCAAACTGTCCGAGTCTTCTGAGACTCGTTCTTCACAGCGCGTGTGTCACTGGGGTTTGTTTGAAAGAACTTCCTCGAACAAGGTGTATGAATGTGTGTGTTTTTGCGAGTGTGTTTATATGGGTATGTGTGCATTTTATCTCTGCTTTTTGAATAAAGACAGACGATGTTTTATGACGTTTTGTTTCCTTTTTTTATTGTGTGCTGATCACTGGGCTTACCAAACAAATTAAATACGCCACCTTCAAAGAACACAATGCTGTGTTAGGTCACTGACCTAATGTGACCTTGACCCGGCCCATACCTACTCAAAAACACCACCAATGTATTCTCCGTGAAGTAAGCTTTCATATGACACCCATATTGCCTATGATTCTCGACGTTCTCGGCAGATGTCATTTTCATGTCAGGTCATGACCACATTGTTGACCTCAGTTTGAGGTCAACGGGTCCGATATACCAGCCAAATCACATACCACTATTAAGAGCATGGATAAGACATCTCTGATAGAAAAAATCAGAATTTTTAAAATAGGACAAATTTGAAAGGTCACGGGGTCAAGGAAAGGTCACGAGGTCAAAGGGTCAAAAAATGACCTTGGGGTTTCGTTCACATTTTTGCTAGACGCACCAGTCTTTGCGCTTCTTATATCATATATAACTTTTTTTGATCCGGTGAACCGTTGCAGAGATAAAAAATACTTTATATTTCAATGTTCCGGAAAACCTAAAAATTTGCATGACCCATATCTCATGACCCCTGTGACCTAGAGACTAAAAATTTACTGTGACGAAGTAGTGCCCATAGGTCAACTTGCATGCCAAATTTGAGCAAAATCGGAGAGGTCATGGTGAACATGCCTAGGTGATCTGTCATGGAATTGCCCATAATTAAGAACTTAATGTGACTCAAAGTTTTGCCCACGCAACTGTCCCTTAGCACCCCACTGTCCCTTAACACCCCGTTTTACGGTAGCTACCTCTCTCAATTCTACTGCCAACATCCTCATTTAATTTACCTGTTGTTCAGTGAAGAGACCATTTTGAGCTGCTGCTGAATTGGCACAGGACCTCCGAAGCTCGCTCAGCTCACACTTGAGCATAGCAACCTGATGCCGAAGATCCTCAACTTCTCCACCTCCTGGCTGCTCCTCGTGCACTGTCATTGTGGCTTCCACTTCTTCCACCGATGATTGCAGGGCAGCAGCAGCAAGCTTCTTCCTTGTTCTTTTCTGAAGGCCCGCAGTTCCACTGCTGGTCATCGCACTGCGAAGAAAAACAGTTCATATGTGAACTCAGGTCTAAGGTACCAACATTTCTCAAAAAGTAGTTTTATAAGTGAAATAAAGGATGCCACCTATCCAGAGATTTGCTGATGCACTCATGCACAACTTAAGATCAATTTTGCAATTATGACAATTGACAATACAAATATGAGGCTGACAGGTTTAGTGACAGGTTTATGCTGATGAGGCTAACAGCATAACAATGCCATTTATGATAACAGTATTAGCATAAATAGCATTAGCCTATTTATATTTGCACCACAAAAAAAACTGAGGATGGTTAGTGAAAAACTGAATTAGTGAGTGTTGCATTCATTACATTCTCCATATTGTTGTGCTCTCACCTAGCAGGATCAATGTCTAATGAAGGTACTGCCGAAGGAATCAGAGCCCGACGGGGATTCAGCATGGGACTTTTTCCTGCATTCAGGAGCTCCCACTGCAGATCTCTCTGGTAGTCATGCTCAGTAAAATGCAGGCTGCAAACGCGCTTGTCCTTGACACTGGCTGGTTCAGCGAGTCGACGAATCTTCTGCCACCACTCATCAGCAAGTGCCTGATCTTTCGGGAAAGAATGCAAAATCACACTTTTATCTCTTTCTTTCCAGTTTGTATGGTGTTTACACCCCGGCACTGCACAGCCTGGCATATCCAAGGCAGCTCGCACACCGTATTGACTGAAAAATATCAATCAATTTCTACCAGCTAGCAAAAAAGCACAGAAATTCCACCACTCTCGTTTCACCAACCCTCCAAAACGCACAAAACACGCCAACTGCGCCACAAAAAGCCCCAAGAATTGCTTATTTGAACGTAGCGCCGTTAATAACGGCTGTTCGGCGAAATCCAGTCAGCTGACTAATCCATTTATTTCTGAAAAACGTCGTCGCATCACATGAATATATAATCAAAGATAGTGTTTATCACTATAAAATACAATATAAATTAATTTGAAGTGAAAATAAACATTAATCAAAAAGAAAACTTATGAAAAAGTATTAAACAGTTACACCACATCTAGTACCTACTAGAGTCTAGCATAAACCTACCAGAAATCCATCCATATTTCACACAATAGACTAGAATCTGGTTCCTACCAGCTACTAGATGCGCCTTCCATATGTGACGTAGGCATGGCCAATGAGCAGACTTGAGTATACCCAGTATGTAAGTACCCTGGTCCAAACCAACGACTGACTGATTCTCCCGACTCCCCTCCCCGTCCGTTAGGTGGCGGCAGTGTGTCCAGCGGTGAGGCCGAGGACGCGTCGGGGGCGGCCAGCCCGCCGGCGGTGGCGTCTGTACTCTAGTCTGTACCGTTGTCTGACTGTCCCTCTCCCCGTCCTTTAGGTGGTGGTAGTGTGTCCAGTGGCGAGGCTGAGGACGCAGCAGGGGCGGCCAGCCCGCCGGCGGGGCTTTGTACCCCGGCTTATACCAGTGGCTGACCTCTCCTCTCCCCTGTTTAGGTGGCGGTAGTGTGTCCAGTGGCGAGGCCGATGATGCCGCGGGGGCGGCCAGCCCGCCTGCGGTCGACAGCGGCCCGGAGTCGTGGAACTCTCGGCCAGTCGACCCGGCGCCCGCAGTCACCGACGGCGCACCAGGTGAGCTCTCACGCAGGCGGGATTTGACCGGCTGCATCCGTATTGTGAGTTAGAACGGGAGGAGGATGTCGGAGCGGACGTATAAGGCTGTATTCTAGGGTTGGAACGGGATAGACAGAGTTGCATGTAAGTTTGGTGTCGGCTCGAACAGCCTAGCAGTAGTGTAGGCCATAGTACGACCGCCACGTTTCGTCACAGAGCCGCACGGTCACTGACCCTGTCTGTACAAAGGCTCGGCCTTGGCTGGCATGCTGCCTGCATGGGCCAGTTTGTTCGCTAGTTGATTTAAAACGAGCCTGTTATTGACTGACTCGTGAATTATTGCTTAGGTGTATGTGAAATATGGTATTGATGTTCCGTTCTGATTTTTTACGGGTAGGTGTTAGAAATGTTATTGTTTTAATAACGTCCAACAAGAAGATTTAACTTTGTGTTTCACGTTTTATTAACAATTAACTTGGTTCAGGTTTAACAATGTGAGGCAACCGCTACCGTCCTTAACATAACATTATGTATTCTGTCCTTATACATAACTATTACCTAAACCGGATATTCCAATCATATGTCTCAGCTATATTTTTCATTTTTGATCTGAGAATCGTGTGCTGCAAAAATTAAATCGGAGTTGTCAAGGCTTAAGACAAGTCAGAAATATTGCGATATTGAAAATGGCCAGAGATTACTATGAGTACTGTATGATCACATTAGCGTTTTGTTTGCACTTGGCTTGTCATTTTTGTTCACTGGTTTTGCCTATCACCGTAGTTTGATGATCGAATGCATGCCAAGTAGTGTCACCGATATTCGATCTCCTCCACACCCTCCCTGTACAATAGGCGTGCCGCCAACTGACGCCACTGAGCCGGTTCACAGTCAGTTTAGCTTGTGCTGCTTGTGTTTTGTTTTGTTGCTGGTTTTGCTCTCAGTTGCCTTGCCATTATCATTTATCCCGCCTGGCGCGGCGGCGGTCCTAAATGCTCGGTAACGGAATCCTAGTGTCGCGGCCCGGCACTAACGCTTTGTACCTGCACCGCTAGATGGAAGCACCGGTTCACCGAGTGTCCAGCGCCCGCGCAGGCCGCTCACGACGGCTGAACTCCAGGTAAGTGAATGCTGATTGTCACGGCCGTCTACCTGGACCGACTAAGTCTCCTAAAACGAAGAGGAGGCTCTGGTAACCAAATACTTGAAGAAAGGTTGCGTCTTACAGCTCAAATGATTTCGAACTGGTGCTCGAAGTATCTGTCTGGCCCTTGCCAGGCGCTACTGCCAGAGTCCAGAAGCCAGCACCTTGTGATCTATGACCTTTGCAGTGAACGTGTACGACCTGACCTCCGCACTCATGAACTACGTGCTCTCCGACGTAACCCTCTATTAGTTGCCCGTTGTGTTGAGGTGGACACGTTTTTAGTCCGATGGGATTGGGGAGCTCAGTTCACCATCATTTGGCGCCCCGTTTTAATGCCTGACGCTGGGGAGTCTGAGGCTGGACATTGAACATCAGTTGACTGTCCTCCGCCCTGACTCCTGTAGACCTCAGTTGTCTGTCTCCCCGCTCTAACTCCTGCCGCCGGACGTGTTACAGAGTCTGATGGAGAGCTCAGTTGACGGGCCGCCGCCGGTCGCTGCGCTCAACCCTGACGCCGCTGCCGCCGGCGCCGTGCCGGCGTCTCCCGTGCCAAAACTGGTGCTGGACCCTTCCTTCTCCCTGGATGACGTCATCAACGTGTAGCCGGCCTGTGGGGATGACGTCATCTGACTGTGTGCAGTCGGCCGACTGGCCAGTTCAATACTCTCGGCGCCGTGACGTCACAGTGCGTATGTATGACGTCACCGGCCTCCAGCGGTGCCTTGGACGATGCGACCGCTGACTCGCGCGTCCGATGGCTCCACTCTGCAGCTTTTCGGCATTTATCTCAACAGGGCGCACAACGACGCTGTTTGGCGTGCGTGGGCGCTTGTCTGCTCGTGCGCGCATGGTGAGACTCCGCATATGTATTTGCTTGCGTGAAAACGACGGAACCTACCTGCATTTGTAGGCGTGTAAGAGTGGTTTGCGATTGAGTGAGAGCGCGAGAGAGCGAGTAGGCTCCGCTGGCTCGGGAGCGTTTCTGAAGCTGGGTTGGGGCCGGGGAGGGATGGGAGGTGCATATAGACTGAGTTGCTGGCGCGATGGATCCCTCTGCAGAGGGGACGGGCCGCCCCCCGGCGCTGCTGTGACAACCGAGACGCACCAATCCGGCGCGCACCAAATCGCTGATTTGTTGTCTACATCGGGCGCCCCGCGCTGCCGCCACTGTGAGATTGATTGTGTTATCGTCTATTATGTTCGAGGTACCAGCCGTTATATTTTATATTTATATCTGCCGAGTATATTCGATGATATATACAGTTACGACATGCCATTTGGGTGTTTGGTTTTGGCGGGAGACTGGACTGGTCTGATGGTGGGTGAGTTGACGGCGGTGTCACGACCATAACACTGGAGGATAAAAGGACTGTGTTAGGTTCAGCCTAATATACCCTGGGTTCAGCCACGGTCATAGAATACTAAGGTAACACGGAGCCGAAGCTTCAAGCCAGGGGACATGGGAGGCATGCCGTCAGCTGTCCATTTATAAATAATCGGTTTCTTTGACTTAATTTCTAATGTTTTTCTGATGTTTTGCATCAATGAGGTACATCAAAAATTAAGTTTTATTTTTTTTTTGAGGTCGAAAATATTTTGTTGTCCAAACTATCTCCGTTTAAAGAAAATAGACAAGGGGAGAGTTTACCCAGGACCCTATGGAGAGAGTCAACCCAGGGCCCTATGGGAGGCATGTTTATTAATCCCACCCAGAAATGACAAAAAAAGCCTCTGATTGGCCAGTTTTGGCTGACAGACGCAGAATATTTGTCAGCAATAGAATACAATGCTTTAGCACGTTTTCAATAATGACGCATCCGTTACATTTACAGGTTAGGGCAGCTAAAATATTGTAATGGATCTAACATGTTAAATATAACATTTTTGGAAGCCCGTACAGATTGTTTCTAGTGAGTTAGGTGTTACAAAGTATTAAAAGAAATGATTGTTATCTGTTAAATAAAGAACAAAAGCTTTTAGCTACTAACATCCGCCTGACAGTCTCCAGAATCCTGCGTACGGGGACACCGCAGTTTCTGTTTATGTTATCGCAATGGGGAAAAAATGAAATTTTAAATGAGTTAGTATCGTGCTAAGAAGTACTGATACTTTCAAAACTAAATGCCTTTCAATTCAAATTCCAGAATATCCTTTCGCGGAAATAGCCCTTCTCAGCCTGTCTCTAACGCTACAAGTCTGAACAGTGAGCGTCTCATGCGTTGCTCACGTATCGCGATAAAAAGGACGGTGTCATATAATCAAATGAACTTTTCTTATGCATAGAGCATTTGAAACATCACACCAAACGCCTCCCTTCCTTGTTTTCCACTGCTGCCTTTCACATACCTTACCTAGTACCTACCCAATGAGTCAGACCGTTCCAGCTCGACGTTCCTTATCTACTGCCTCACATTCAACGGCCATATCCCACCTACGCTGAAAACCAATCGGAGGCACCTTCAATCGTCCCTTGAATAAAATTGCTACCTACACGGATTTAGAGGAGAACGAGGCCCAGAAAAGGCGTGCATAAAACGATCGGTTTCGGCCCCCATGGAATAAGCCAGGAGGTAAAATCATATTGATTGAAGAACATTTTCGAGGACATGATATCTATCAGATATTATTTTGCAAAGGTACTGTGAACATAACGTCCGCGTATCGCAGCTCTGAATCTGCTGGTGTCACTTGTCAGTCCCATGCAGCAGCCACCGGACCACTGCCCCGCCGCCTGCCGTTCGCTGATCATACAGGCCGGCTGTCCCAGTGTCTCATCAAACGATCACAGCTGACTCATTATTTATAAAATGTCAAACAAAAACAGACACCCAATATTATAGATCACGCCAGCTCTTTCAGTCATGCGCGTGGAGATATATCGGTAGTTTTCCTATCACAGATCACACTGAACAGAGGAAAAGCGTACACACGCAGCAATAAATAATGCATTATCAAGTAATGCATTACACCGATCGATGCATCGTGGAATACACCGAAAAAATACATCACTGCTTTAACGTTCCCCAGGTGGGTGGGCCGTGGGGGCGTTTTTGGCCACACCTGACAATTTTGTGCTTGCATAGATAAAACGACACGAAACTTAGTATAGCTTATGTATAATGCATCGATTCGCATCAATTGTGAAAAAAGTAACCCCATGTCACCTAAGGTCAGGTCAGGTCACCATGAAGTAGAAGTTTGAAACTCGAGCTATTGCATGAGAGAATCAGTACCAACATCTTGAATATCTTTAATTTTGATCTCGGTGGTGACCTAGGGTCAGGTCAACTTTGCGACGTCTCCAGTTTCAGTCAGTATGAGGAACTCGAAATGTTCTGCTTTTGAAACAAAAGCACTCAAACATCGGGATCTATCGTATGCTCCTGAGGTCATCTCAGGTCATGTAACGCCTCCCAACAGTTTATTTTTGTACATCGATTTTAGATGGAACGTGGCCAGAGCGCTAAAAGCATCATAATCATAGGCGGCGGAACAGGCCGAGGGCACCGGGGCACCGTGCCCCCTTTGATTTTGGCATTTTAACATTAGCCCTATGGGCGTTGCATGGAAAGAATGAGACCAAAAGTCGGCAATGCCCCCTTAATTGAAGGTGTTCCGCCGCTACTGATGTTAATCTCAATTTCAATGTAACGAATCAATGACATGCAAAATGGCATTTTCTGCGACATTGACCTGAGGTCAAATTTATTAAGCTGACCTTGTTAGGCCAAGAAGACGAGAGAAACGCAGTGCCGGTAAAATCAACGTAATAAAAGGTTGGTATCAGTTTAAACAATTTTTAAAGAAAAGACGACTTCCGAAGCAAGCCGATTGTTCAGTTTTTGCCCTTTGGAGGCTTAACCCTAGTTGACCTTAGCTCAAATCTGAGAACCTGAAAGATTTTCGAAAGAGCTATCGAATTCGCTTTTCCGCGGCGCTGTAGCTTCTTTGGTTCCCGAATTATGAACCAATTTGTGAAGTTGTCAAAATCGGGGGCCAAAATTCGTCATCATTTTACTTTTGGTGACCTCCAGTGACCTCAGCGATGACCTGATCAAAAATGACCTGTATGATTCTGAAGAAAAATAGCGATCTATAGATTGATTTTACTGCGTCTTTCCAGCTTTGCTACATTCCAAGATAACCTGGTGTGGCCGAATACACCTCCCCCCCCCCCCACCAAGTTGGCTGAGGGCCACCCGGGCGCGGGTTAATAACATGGCGCAACAGGTTTTGTTATCAACTTATCCTTTTCACACATAGGCGACACTTAACACTAGATATCACAGCCAACGCCTATCACCAAACTGGTGGTGGGCTTTGGCCAGCGATCGCCGATCGGGGCCAACGCGGGCTCTTACTCGTCCACAATCAGCAAGAATGATGAACTATAGTTGCTCCAGACCGGCCACTTCAATCTAGCGTGTAATCTTCAGTCCACATCAGAACCACTAGTGAAACTCTACTGAGTGGGCCAACTGCACTGCATCTTTGACCTCCTTTGCAGCTCTGGCTTTTCAGAATTTGAACAGCCTTCTCTTTCCCACCCTTCTGTGCTGATGAATGATGATCCTTTGGAAACCTGGAAAAAGACAGTACAACTCAGGGAGATGAAACTAATTTGCTATGGGTCTGTTCCAGTCGCACTTCCTAACACATCTAAACTCCTCAAAGAGCAAGATAGAGGAGGTTGGAGCAGGGCCCTTCTTGGCTTTGTAGGGGCGAAAGCTGCCACTGGAACAGGGAAGCAATCTTGGAGGAGTTAAGAGGTGTTAGGAAGTGCGACTGGAACAGACCCTATGACAATGTCTGTGCATAGAGCAAGCAGATGGTAGAAGTGGTCAATTGGTGAGTGGAACAAATGCAAATGCCAGGAAAGCAGCATAGTTTGTGATAGACATGATGCAGATGTTGGCCAAGCTGACAAGGTAGATATAATTACCAGCTTGTTATACTAGTCTATAACTCATCATATTTTCATGTTTAACAGAGGGAATATAATGTAAAAAAGCCTTAGCCAGATGAAAGTAGATAATATAAGTTCTATAGAAAAAATGTTTATGTAAGTAATGTAGGATTTGTGGTTTTTAGAGGCTAGGTAAATGTGTTCCCTGTTCAACAATTCTTCAGCATTCAGACATTGATGTCAATGTACAATGTACATGCATCAACATACCTGTTGTGAAGTGATTCTGGGCTGCTTTCCTGAGCAGTTGATGGCCACCACTGGAATCTTAAAAACACAGCTAATTTTTTTTCCATTTTGTTAACTATGACTGAGGATCTTCTGTGCTGAAAGAGAGATAGACAATAGACATCAGCTGATAGACATTGTACAATGTACAACTCATTTGTGAAACAAGATCAATTCCATTTAGGGGGTAGGTCATAGGATAATGGTGACATGAATGAATTTCAGTTTTCACTTTTCACCAGTCCAGGTACCTGGTGACAAAATGAAATATTGTAGGAGGTATCAATGATAATGTTTCTGGTAGAAAATGCAGGCATTTTAGAATTCAGTTGAAGCTTTAGATGGAGAATTTTTGGAAAATATTTGCCACAAATAACATTGGAATCTCAGAAACAAAAATCAAATCTTACTTGATGTCAAAAACAAATCAAACTATTACCATTGAGCACCAAGCAGCATGCTGAGTAGTCATTCACTAAGACATATGCATGTTACACATGGCTACAGTACTTTGAAATAGCTTTTATAAAATGTATGCACTCATGTAATCTTAACATGTAAAATGTCAGCTAAAACTTGTTTTACACTAAACCTGCTAAGCCAAGAAAAAAAGATAAATATGAGAAGCCCAAAACAAGTTATTCAAATATAAACACAGGTAACGTTACAACAAAACTGAGTCAAAACACTCAAAACTAAGTGTTTCAATGAACGCAAGATTAATGTGTGTCACAGAAGCAGCTGTCCACTGTAAAACAGAGTGGGCACAGCATGGTGAAAGCAGGAAGTGCTGCACAAAACTGAATTGAGAAGAGTGCCCGACTAACTGTATCTACATCCCTTTACATGTAGGTGCTTACAAAATTTGAGCACAATCAGCCAAAACTTAACTGTGAAGGAGGCCATGCCCACTCGCACATGAGAGGTGTGCAAAAACATGCCTGTAATACCTTATGCCTAGATACATAAAGATGAAAATGTGTTGTGTCTGTGAGCCTGGTTAGTGGCATGACGTGACATGACTATTATCAATACCTGACAGTACAATTATCATGATATTATCATTATTGCAATTGTAATAAAAAATGATCAATTGAACTTTTCTTCTCACTTTATATAGCCAAAATACCTGATATTGTTTAATATTAAGTTTGCGTACTCCAAAATCGTAACTTCTGCTTCCTCCAGTACTTTATAAGTTTGCGCAAGACTATTATCCATCAGATGTAGGGACGATCATGACCACTTGACTAAAAAATGGTTCACTTGGTTCTTACAAGCCTGTTAACTCACTACACAAGGGGAGGGGGCACTGCAAAAGGGTGTGGAAATCGCCACATTTGTCTCATGATGTTTGATGTATAATAATCGGTATCAAAATATCGTCGTATTAGTATGCAAGGTCACCAAAGAATGAGCCAACGTTATTTATCAAATATCAAAGCAAATTGGCGATATCTAGCAAAACGAAACACATAATTCAACACCTAACGATGCCGGCCGAGTCCCCGATACCACCATGGCGACCGCTGAAGTCCAACTGGCCGGCAACTGGCCAATCAGGGAGCTTGTTTGTCATTTCTGGGTGGGATTAAAAAACATGCCTATGGGAGAGAGTTAACACGTGCTTCTATGGGGCGAATTCGATGCAACAATGGCGCAGTAGCGACATTACTCTTGTTCGATGTTTTTCGGACGACAAAGATTCTACGCCATTCGGCCAATCACATTCCATAATTGCAGCCGAGCCCCCGTTGATCTAGAACGGGATTGGCCGGACGACGTACAATCTTCGTCGTCTGAGAGACATCGAACGAGGGGTACATCGACTGAACATACATTGCGATTCATTCAGTATTTTATGACCGTGATTGCAATCCAAATTTGCATTTGAGCTCAGCAGTCGAGTGTGGTGCCAAAAATACCAGAAGCGATGTCCTATATACGGCCTTGACCAGAAGTGTTGCATGCCCTGGATGCAGAAAAACAAGATTGAGATGAGTGGATCAAGATGTATCTTTCGTGCAGATGTATCAAGATCCTTTCACTTAAGATCCATGCAGGTGAGGTTCCAGTGAAATTTGAATTCGATAGGTAGCTATTTTTGATTTTGCTTTGATACTTGTGGTAAGGAAACATGATTATGGTTGCATGAACCGCCCACTGCTCATTGCTGTCTTGTCTCACGTTCGATATCCGATCACCATTCTTAAATAGCTCACCCCATATGGAAATCAGGTTTCAGGAGGCCACTAGGCTTGTGGGGCCTGGTCTCAATGAGCTCCCAGTGCTAAGGACAGTAAGGCTCATATGCTGGGTAAGGTCAGGTTCAGGTAGGCCAGTATGCACTCTGCAAAGCATGGCAATTTCGACAAGATCTCGTCTGTGCTGGCTTGTCCGGCTGGTGAGGCTTTGGTGTGGCGTGGATTTAGCTTGGTGCAGTGCGGATTTTGTGTAGCGCAGTGCAGATTTGGTCTGGTGTGGTGAGTGGTCAGGTGGTGGGGGATGTAGTGTAGTGCATTTTAAATGTGGCTGATAGGTGTGCGGTGGTCAGAACGGACTGTGCCAGTGCTGGACGCTGGTGCCTGGTGGTCCCACCAATCACGGGGGTCATCTCCTGTTGTGACCCAGGGCCCAGGGGGTCTAGTCAAAACCTTACCTATTTCTGCTAACCTAAACCTATTTCTTACAAATTAGGCATAAATGTGATTATGGTATAATGATAATTAAACCTGGCCCTTTTTCAGGCGCAAGCTTTGGATGAACTTCTGCTTCTGCAGTCGGCATTCTTACAGGAGAACCCAAGATTCATTGTACCTACCTGTATGCATTTCAAAACTGAATAATTGATAGCAACAAGTAAATATTTGAAGTTGCAGCCAAATGCTGTGCCTTCTCTGCTGCAAGAGCTACATGTCACCATTGAAGCAAGGTAAGTGTTAAAAGAAATTGTTCACCTTCTGTGAGTAACTTGATAAATAAAATTTAAAAAGGTGTGTTAAAAATGTGATGAATAAAATTTAAATGTATTCTAACTTGGAATTACACACTTCTTCTAAAGGGATTTCATTATTTTAATGATTAGAGTTATGAACACTTACAGCTGAACAACCTATCAGCTGCAAGGGATTCTGCTCCTGTAAGTGCTCTCATCGCTGATTGGCCACTGTGTGTGTTGAAGAGGTTTCTGCTTGCTGTAAATGAGCACTAGAACATTAATTTAAGCACCAATATTCACTGATAAAAGGTGAATATCTCAAACGGTTCAAATATAAGGCATACACAAATCTGCTCTATCAGACTGCTATCTCAGTTTAAAATCCCATGTTAAAGGTGAACTATTTCCTCGACAGGACCAGCTCGACTCCTGCAGTAGGAGTCCAGCCTCGTCCAGTCGTCGCCGCTCGCCAAGACCAGCCGGACTCCTGCAATAGGGGTCCAGGCTGACCCGTTCGTCCAGTAACCGCCGCTCGTCAGCACCAGCTGGGCTCCTGTAGTAGGGGTCCAGCCTCGTCCAGTCGCCGCCGCTCGCCAAGACCAGCTGGGCTCCTGTAGTATGGGGCTAGGATGGCCCGTTCATCAACCGGTCCTGAAGTCACATCGCCGTCAGCCAGCCGAACTCAGTACATAAGTCACCAACCCTGAATGTTGCCAGCCAAAGTCGGCAGTTTCCTTCGGACAGTCATCTCACCAGTGTTGTACAGTGTACGAGGTTAGTGACGCAGTTAAATGCGTCAATTAAATGCGAGGACGTGCGCTTGTATGCAGCGTTTTGTCATGTTGAGCTGCATGGGTGTCGATTTTCACCGAATTGAGGGTGCCCACTGCCCGGGCGCAGCAAATCCGCCGCTGCCTTAGCGGTGACCTTGAGTCTTGACCCGCACCGTCTGTTGGGGCTCCAAAGCCAAGCCAGCCGAGCCGGCGGGGAATCTAAAGAGCTTGAGCACCCCCAACCCGGCGGAAATTGACACCTATGTTGAGCTGTATGGATGCGTTTTAGCCTTCCGCCGTGGTGGTAAATAGCAGCCTACATGCAGAATTAGGCAGGCTTATTAGCGGACTCGTTATTGGATTCATTGTGTCACGTTTGTCGGCACGTGTAAGATGTGCTTAACTGCCATTAGCTCTCGGTCTGGCGACTTCTGGGGACCACGTAATGGGGATGACAATTGGGATCCTGTGCCTTAAGCCGGCCATTTACGTCCATGGCTATATACCCCCGTACTAGGGCTAGTTATGACGTATATAGGGATCCACGAGATCTTTTTTGATGAATGTGTTGTGCAGTGTTGAGATCCGCGTGTAACGTCACTGTTTGGCCAGTCTGCCCTCAAACGCGTCATCTTTACTCGTATTTTATTTACTGAACGCTTTGCATGGTCCAGTGGTTTATATAGACATCTTCCTTGCACTAGCTAGTTTTATGTGGCCAGGTTGATTGCCTGTCAGCGCGGTCACGCTGTCGTCTTTCGATTGGTGCGCTTAAATGCGGCGAGATGAATATAGGATTTCCTTTGATGCTATTTAGTACCTGCGCCCAGCTCAACTGGGGAAGGGGGGGGGGGGCACTGCCGACTTTTGGTCCCATTCTTTCCATGTAACGCCCATAGAGCCCATTGTTAAAATGCCAAAATCAAAGGAGGGCACGGTCACACGGTGCCCCGGTGCCCTCCCCGTTCCGCCGCCTATGCGCGAAAGTACCAACTACCAACAGTTTCCAGTTGTTTGTGTCCCAAAGTTTTTTATGAGTTGGACGATTGGGCTTTTCCCATCGCTCGTTATGCAATTATTTTGTTAAACGCTCTAAAATTGTTTCTCTACAAGTCATTAGAACTTAGAAGCAAATAGATATTGATGGATACGATCTCAAGGGGGCCGATAAGAAGGAAGAGCGCGCGGCGCAATGATTGTGGAGCACAGCACACGATTAATGTGAGGCGCATTTAAGCGAGAAATAACTTCATTGAACAGAAATGAGCAGAGTACCAGCATTGAAACTGCACCAGTACCAGCATTGAAACTAAATATAAGATATCTCAGAAGGTTGCGCTTTTGGGGCCGAGTTGTGGTGCTTTACGCCGTACATCATGCTTAATGAATGTGACCGTCGTGTTTGTGGGATCCCCGTCGGTACTAGTCAGCCCCACGAATCGTGGTAGATCATAAAGATAATCTTCGCCTCCGGTTATGATTTTGATATTCTACGAAACGGGTGCTGGGTGGTACACGAAAGCAGCTTTTTCAGGTGAGTTGAAAGGGGAAGAGGTTCTTTGAATTACCATTTCGGACCATGGTTCTAAAAAGCGCTAGTTTAAAACTATTGTTATAATTCCTATCGTAAACCATCGGACGCTCGACGCTGCATTGGCATTGGTACGATGTGCCGGTAATCGCTTCGCTCGCCGAGAATGATAGCGTGGCAGGTTTACTGATATGTAGGATTATCAAATAAATGTAATAGAAACGATATTAAATCCACTACCTCTTTAGAAGCTCTTGAAATAAACCTGGCTATCTGGTTGTCGAAGCCAGGCAAATTATATGCTTGGAATGGCTGAATGTCCATTGTCCATGACATCATTAAATTGAATTATTTTCCTTCTTAGCACTTAAAATACATTTCAGCGACACAAAACTCCCAAAAGTCTGATATCTTGCCCGTGGTATCGTGGTACGATCGGCGAGTACCTAAACCTTCCTACGCAATGTCCATGGCTATGCGAAGTCTAAGGTTGGCCTACATTTGGCCTGTTTATCCTGTTTCATATCGTATCTATGATAATAAAGTGTTCACGATCGCATAGCCAAACTGAGAACAAAATATTTATTTGCAAAACTCCAGCAATACCCCTCGCTTGATACTATAAAAAATATTGCACACGATCATGCGAAGCCGTGAATCCTACCGCCACTATATATGGCCTTGCTACCGCCTTTATTTAGCGCCGGCGTTCCCGCGTTAACAATTTCTCCTGAATCGGAGGACCAATAATCAGCTGACGCACCGTTGTTTTGATGTCGGCGGACCGTGCCAGCCTGGGTTCAGCCTACCACAGTGTATATAAATACAGTGGCGGCAAATGCGCTTCGTCACGTGACCAAATCTGCACGTGCGGTTGTGGCGAGGGCACTTCCCGAAACTCTGGTGCCAACGGCCTCGCGGCGCCCATAGAGAATACATGGGGCCTTTTCTTTTCAGACCTATCGTGTCTAAACCAAGCCATTTAGTGCAAGGATACGACTGGTTTGAGATTCAGTCGTCTTTTGGCTATAAGTCGGCATAAGAAACGTATTTTTATCGGCAAAATTCGCAAAGTACTAGGTGGTTTTCCGATACCCTGGTGTTTGGCAGAAATGTGTTGAACCCAGCTGATGTAGCGTACGAAATAGGCCGTGCGTTACATGACCGCTGTGTCGGTGACTGTTCTGACCCCGACTTCGCCCGCCATCGTGCTCGGTGCGAATCGACTGGCGTCAATTTTAACACATCACAACATTTTAGCTACAATGATCCCTTTACTATGGAAGAGTTAAAGTCCGCTATAGGTGGCCTGAAGTGTGTCGCAGAAGGCCCTGATCTTGTACACAATGAGATGCTTCGGCGTCTCCCGTCACCGGGACTTGAAGCATTGCTCCATCTTTTCAATGCGCTCTGGGAAAGAGGGCTGTATCCCGAAACATGGCGGACGGCCATCATTATCCCGGTGCTGAAGGCTGGTAAAAGCGGGCTTGATCCGCTTCACTACCGCCCTATTGCGTTGACATCTGCCCTGGGCAAGCTGCTTGAGCGAGTTGTAAACGCGCGTCTCGTCTGGTTTCTGGAGGAACAAGGTGTTTTATCTAACTCGCAGTGCGGTTTCAGAAAGTATCGGAGCACAGTAGACCACATTTTAGCCCTTGATACCGAGGTTCGTTGCGCATTTAGGCGGAAGCGACACATTGGTGCATTGTTTTTCGACATTGAGGCTGCGTATGATACCACTTGGCGTTTCGGTATTTTACAAAAGCTTTTCAAGTACGGTATACGCGGTACAATGGGCCATTTCCTCGCCAGCTTTTTATCTAACCGGTCTTTCAGAGTCCGTGTCGGTGGCAACCTCTCAGAGCAGTTCCCCCAGGTCAACGGTGTCCCCCAAGGAGGAGTCCTAAGTGTTGTGCTGTTCGGGGTAATGATTAACGATATTGCCGATCACCTGCCCCCTTCCATTGGCCGTGCCCTCTTTGTGGATGACTTCTCTATCTGGGCCAGTGGTGCAACCACACGTATAGTAGAGAGACAGCTCCAGTTGGCAATTAAAAGATTAGAAAACTTGAGTGCTGTTAACGGACTACGATTCTCGACAGCCAAAACTGTAGGTGTCCACTTTTGCCGTTTTCGCCGTAATTGCCCTGACTTCTCTGTCAGGCTAAGGGGTGCAGTGATCCCTGTGAAGTCGGAGGTGAAGTTTCTTGGGATGGTAATAGACAGCCGTCTTACCTACCGCACTCACCCGCGACCGATGTTTTCGAGCTATGAATGTTTTGAAATGTGTTGCGCGTACCTGCTATGGGGCGGATCGTAAGACACTGCTCTTGCTTTATCGTGCTCTTGTCCGTTCTAGACTTGACTACGGCTGTTTTATATACGATAACGCCACGGAGACCTCGAAACGTATTCTGGACTCTGTGCACCATACTGCTCTTCGTATTGCCACTGGTGCGTTCCGGACCACCCCAGTAGCCAGCCTCCTTGTAGAGGCCCACGAGCCACCTCTTGCCTTGCGTCGCCAGCTACTGGGCATGAGATATACCATAAAACTCCGCCAGTTGCCTTCCCACCCTGCCTATGATGCAGTTTTCTCACGTGCCAACCTGGCGCTTTTCAGAACCGGAGAAGGTGCACGTACTGTCCGCTACCCCCCTTTCTGCTCTCGTATGCAATCGCTGCTCTCGGAAGCTCAAATTAAACTTCGGGGGGTCATGCGTAAGGAGTGGCCATCTGTCCCACCGTGGAGACAAGTCCCGCCAAAGGTGGACCTTTCCCTCACCGATGTGAGAAAAGGCGACATCCCTCCAGCTGTTTTAAAGGCTCGTGCGCTGGAACATATTTCAAGGTACTCTGACTACATAGCCTGTTATACTGACGGCTCAAAGACTGATGACGGTGCCGGGTGTGCTTTCGTCTGCGGCGACGCTGTGCGGTGTTTTACCTTACCTAAACATGCATCCGTTTTTTCCTGCGAATTGGTCGCTATCCTCAAACTCCTGTGTTTTATCGAGATTAATCCCGCTCGGTCATATGTTATTCTTTCTGACTCATTGAGTGGTCTCCAGTCCTTGTCACAATTCTATCCTTCTGACCCCCTCGCACAGGAGATTCTTCTTCGTGTGACAGCCCTCGACCGAGAGGGTACGTCGGTGTCTTTTTGCTGGATCCCTAGCCACGTCGGTATTCACGGCAACGAACGGGCGGACCGAGCTGCGAACCATGCTGCGCAGTATCCGTGCTCCCGCCGATTCCCTCTACCCGCCAGGGACTTTGTACCGGCGGTGGGCTCTTTCCTCCTCGGAAAGTGGCAGGAGGCCTGGAGCCAATCCCACGGTAACAAACTTTTACGTATCAAGCCAGGTTTAGCTACCTGGTTGTCGGCCTCACGCAGATCGCGACGCGAGGAGGTGGTCCTCTGCCGGCTTCGTACCGGGCACACTTATGGCACCCATGGGTTCCTTATCGGCGTTGGCTCCAGGCCTATTTGTACCAGATGTGGTGACCGACTTTCGGTCCGACACGTCTTGGTCGAGTGCCCGAGACTGGACGCTGAGCGATTGCGGTTTTTTGGATTGCGTGGCCCCCAGCTCTCTTTGAGAACACTTCTCCGCGACGACTCCCCTTTTCTCGATTCCTTTCGCCTCTTTTCGTTCATCACGGCCTCCGGGCTTCAGGTGATTTTTAACCCCCGACTTTGAGGAAGATTGGTTAGATATGGGCGCCATATAGCCTCGTTGCTGGTGCGCCCTAAAACACCAAATCATCATCATCATCACGCCTCCTAACCCCCGGCGGCCGATCGGAGGAGTCAGTAGCGCTCCACTTACGACTTTTGGCGATAGCTCAAAACACCTTACAGCTAGAGGGCTGCTATCTGGCACACCTTATCTTTGCTTCCATACGCATCTTTGGAAACCAATTGCATTTCCGTCTCAGGTCAGATCACTGACTTCTGCAAT